ACATGCAGCCTTCTGCCAGTGTTCCCTGTCTTGGGGCAAAGGGTCTCTTCCCATCCTAATTCCCTGAGCCATAATCTTAGAGTCCACCTTAACGTCAATCTTAATGCCATCTTCTTTATCCCCAGAACGCAGTCCATTGTACTTCGCAAATGCCTGCTGAGTGCAATCTGTCTTTCTCCATCTCCCTCATCCCATTTCAGAGGCCATTGTCTTACTACCAGGATTCAGCGTGGGCCATGACTATAGCCCCCAGTCTCTGGCGGTCAGTTATCCCTGACTCTAGTTAGTGGAGTCTTTTTAAAAAAATGTGCATTCAGTTGAGCCACTCTCTGTTTAAAATCCTTTCAGAGGTTTCTCATTGTTTTTAGGATGAATGTCAAAATCCTTAACAAGGCCTAGAAGGCCTGCCTGGCGTGGCCTTTGGAAGCTTCCAGCCTTAACTCCTGTTACTCTTCTCTCTCCTTGCTGTCTAACCTAGGCAGTTTTTCACACCTGATTGTACCATATTTCTTTCTGCCTCAGGGCCCTGAACTCGTCTCTGCCCGAAATATGATTTATTTGCCATTACCCACTCCAGCCTTCCTAGTTAATTCCTGGTCTTTAGTTGCTTAAGAAAGTACTCTGTGGGACCAACAGCTGGTGTAATGGTTACGTCACTGGACTCCCACATAGTTGACCATGGTTTGAGTCTCGGACCTGGCTGCTTAATACTCATGCTGGGCGCGTGTGCGTGCATGCCCAAGATCCTGAGAGGAAATGGAGGAGAGGGGATTATAGTGTGGCCATCCTCCCTGGGGGTGACTTCTTGCTTTCTGTCTCTCTGTCTCTCTCTGTCTCTCTAGCGAGCACATGACATGTGTCCTATAACAAAAAATCTCCCCTACCCCCCCCAAAAAAGAAAGAAAGCACCCCGTGACCTCCTAGATCTAATTAGATTCCCTTCTTACAGCATCTTTTCCATGGCTGAATAATATTCTGTCTTAGAGATCATTTGTATTTTATTCATTCACCTATTACTGGACATTGACTTTTTGGTTGTTTGTTTTGGCTAGTATGAATAAAGCTGCTATGAACATTCTTTTTTCTTTTTTCTCTTTTCTTTTTTTTTTGGAGAGGATTTTGCTATAGGGCATGTGTGCTCATTAGAAAGAAAGAGAGAGAGACAGAGAGACAGAAAGAGAGAAAACACTCCCCACGGGAGATAGACACGCGTGAGAAATCACTCCCCAGGGGAGATGGCCACGCTGCAATCCCTTCTCCTCCATTCTCCTCTCGGGATCTTGGTCATGCACGTACACGCGCCTGGCGTGAGTTTAAGCCACCAGATCCGGGACTTGAATGGTGGTTGACTACATGGGAGTCCAGTGACATAGCCATCACGCTAACTGTCCAAGATCTTGAGCGGAGAATGGAGGAGAAGGGATTGTGGCATGGACATCCCCACTGGGGGTGATTTCTCACTTTCTGTCTCTCTGTCTCTCTCTGTCTTTCTGG